ACTCAATTTAATGAACTTCTCATATTTTAAGACCAAGGACACAAACAGTTATCTAAAAGAATTGGATGCAAATAACCAAGGATGTTTGAAGACAGGATAATACACCTGCCCACACTGTGTGTTTTGGATAAGCAGAAGTTAACCTTGTATTTTCTTTGCATGATTTAGAAATACCTAGCATAATCCAAGCCACTATTAGACATTCAAGTATTCAACTAATTTTTTCATATCAAATTTGATATATAAATCATAAAGGAAAATAAATGCTCAGGCTTTAAATACTAAAACATACTATATTTTAGAGTACATAAACATAGAACATTTTTTCTCCATTTTTAGAAAATGAATAATGAATGGATTTCAGAGTAAGCAAAAACAGTAAGACAAATTTTAAGCCTTGCACACATTTTATAAAACAAATCTAGAATAGAAGGAATTGTCAAATTAAGTTTGAAAACTTACCGAATCAAGAAGGTGGCATTCAGTAAAGACACTTTTATTATCAAGTAGTACTGAGAAACAAGAAAAAATAATTTTTAACTTTAAAGAATATTTTTGCAGTCAAGGATGTTAGAAATGAGTAATAACTTGAAAGCTATGAAAAGGTCTGTATATCACATGCTAAGACAAAAACATAGATCATTTTATGCTATATTTTTAAAGTAATTTCTTAATAATATTCTTATCCTTAATTTCAGCATAAAAAGTGTCTTCTTTGATCAGTCTCATGCTTATAATATTAAGGATACCTAAAAGATGCTGACAAAGATCAGGTAGAGAACATTAAATACCTGGACATAGTTAAACCATTTTATTTTATCTTAGGTCCCAGCTAGACCACAACCATAGTAGCAGATGAAAATAACTGATGAAACTGGCACACATTATAATGTAACAAAAGTATAAGACCCTTTTTCTCTTGTAGAGCAATCACAACAAAAGTAGGTATAAGCTGAGCACAGTGGCACACACCTCTAATCCCAGTGGCTTGGGAGCTGAGGCACTAGAATTGCAAGTTTAAAGCTAGCCTCAGGAAATTAGTGAGTCCCTAAGCAACTCAGCAAGACCCTTTCTCTAAATAAAATGTTAAAAAGTATATGGGGGTGTGACTCAGTAATTAAGTGCCCCTCAGTTCAATCTCTAGTACAAAAAAACAAACAAAAAAAAGGGTAGGCATTAGGGAGGAAAAAATAGAAGATATTTTGAAGACAGGTTTGGAGATATGTATTAAAGATAAAAACTAAGAAACTTAGAATTTTTCTGAGACTTCAGAAAATGCTGTTAAATGAAGGATTCCAAAGTAGGTATTATGTAAAATGTTCCTCTCTCCAATGTGGATTAGTATACTTTTTTTTTTTTAGGTCTCTCTCAAGGTTTGGGGTTAAGAGTAGAATACAATAACATAAACCAGTGTTTTTTTTTTTTTTGTTGTTGTTGTTGTTTGTTTGTTTGTTTTTGTGGTGGGGGGATAGTAGGGATTGAACCCAGGGGTGCTTTTCCATTGAGTTAATCCCTAGCCCTTCTCCCTTTTTTAAAACATTTTTTTTTTCAGTTGTAGGTGGACATAATACCTTTATTTTATTTTTATGTGGTGCTGAGGATCAAATCCAGGGCCTCATGAATGCTAGGCAAGTGATCTTGCTCTGAGCCACAACCCCAGCCCCACCCCAGTCACTTTTCATTTTGAAACAGCATCTCACTAAGTTGACAGGGCTGACCATGAACTTGAGATCCTCCTACCTCATCCTCCTGAATTACTGGGATTACAGATGTGTACCACTATGCTCACTTCATAAATTATTTCAGATATTTATTGTGAATGTTCAATTTCTCAACCTTTATCTTTAGAAAATGGTACTCAGATTTTTTATAATCTATACCTTAATCCAAATTCATTTTTCAACAAAGCCTCTTTGTATTTTAGACAATCTTACCCAATTGAGAAGGATTAACTTCTTGTGAGATGTTATTTTGTGATGGTATATTTTTTTCAGGGCTAGTCATCAAAACATCTTGTGAAGTAAGTGAAGAATTTAGTTCCATTCTTTCCTCAATATCTGAAATTTCTTCTTTTTTGTTAGTTCCATATTCATCCTGATATGAGATGAAAAATACAAAAAGCTCCAGGTTTTCAAATAAGCCAAAGGTCACTGAAATAAGAATTATCATTCTGTAGGACTAATATAATTTCTAATGGGAAATCTAGGTGTTGCTTATGGAATTGCTACACAGAATGATATAAATAGATGATATACTGGACTATCTACTACAAATAGGACTTACATGATTTATTTCAATTAAGCCTTGTACTCCAGGACACTGAACATCTTGTACTATGCTATTCCTAAAAAAGAAAAGAAAAAAAGAAAAATTGCATTATACTCCACTAATTAAGCATATTGTTCTTTTGACTTGCCTTTTAAATCTATCCTTTATGGAGAGAGTTAGTTTAGGAAAGTGGTCAAAGATAGCGCCTGGTCCAAGATCCAGCCTGACAGAGATATAATGGACTATAGTGACTAAAGCATGGCCTTACAAACAAGGTATTTTCCCCCAGAAACTCCTGAGCTGTTCATCAGTCTGGTCAGCCAGGTTAATGTAGCTGCACTGGCAAGACTTTCTTAGCCAATTCTAGAGCCATACACCAGGGACAGGTCAAGATGAAATTGACTTCTGTAAGTTGAACAATCCAATTATTGTGTAGTTAGAGTTGGCTACATTGGCTCATTAGTTATAATACAATACAATCTAAAATCTTACATTGTAATTTATTAGAAATATGTATCTCAATGTCTTTGAAGTTTTTTTTAAATTCACCTTTTCTAGTTAACAATACAATACAATCTAAAATCTTACATTGTATTTTATTAGAAATATGTGTCTCAATGTTTTTGAAGTTTTTTAAATTCATTCTCTTTTTCTACTTTTTAACCTCATTTTGTCTTTACTGTACAAAGTTGCTTATTACTAAGATGCTCTTGCTGAACTATTTTTGGCAATCAAACATACACACACACACATATATATTTTAGTTGTTGTTGGACCTTTATTTTATTTATTTATATGTAGTGCTGAGAATCAAACCCAGTGCCTCACACATGCTAGGCAAGCACTGTACCACTGAGCCATAACCCCAGCCCAGCAATCAAACATTTTTTTAAAAAACATTTGTAATATAACTCAAATGCAATTATTGATCTTCCCAGTATAAGACAAAAATCTAAAGTACATACTATGAGAACTTATTGGCTTTTGAGAAACAATAATAAATTGGACTGGGTGTGGTGGTACACACCCTTAATCCCAGCAACTAGGGAGGCTGAGGTAGGAGGATCAAAAATTTCAAGACCAGCCTTTGCAATTTAGTTGGGGGGACAGGAAAGGGAAGAATGATGATAAATAGTTATTTTATTTAGTACTGGGGATTAAACCCAGGAGTGCTTAACCACTGAGCCACATTCCCAGTCATTCATTTATTATTTGAGAAAGGATCTCACTATGTGATCCTCCCCTCTTCAGTCTCCTGAGTATCTGGAATTACAGACATGTACTACCATGCCCAGCTCCAATCTGAAATCTTAAATCTCAATCCCCTCATTCATAGAAAGCATAACTTGCCTATGTTATAGATCATTGTGAAATCTAATTAACAATATATTCCAGGCATATTTTACTAGTTTAATAATCTGAAATGATATAATATGATTAGCATTTGTTAAATTCTTAATAACACGTTAAAGAAATACCTGCTTTCAGAAATACTTGAAAACAAAATTTTCTTATCAACACATTCACTTTTGGTGTTCTGAGGATGAGGATTCTCCGGTGATATCATCTTTCTTGGAAGGTCCTTGCCGGCTTTGCCCTCAGGTATGGCTTTGCTGATGGACTTAGGTGTTCCATGTCTTTGAGAAAGATGTTCAGAGGAAAGTACTAGAAGACGAGTGAAATCACCTCAAAATCAAAAATTTCTTTCATTCACTTTTCTTCAAAACCCATAAGACAATGCAAATCCTACTTTTTTCTGTCAAATAATATTTGTTAAAGTCAATGCTTGGAATTTTCTATTAAAGACAGTTCTAAACCCTCAAATTAGATTATGCTTCCATTTAACATTTCACTACTATAACATTAACAGAAGTAATCTTAAAAGGCAGAAGTATACAAGGACAAAGGAAATAAAAGAACAATAACAAAAATAATTTGGAAGCTGTTATGTATTATGGCCAAGTGGGATATTGCTTAGAACCCAGCAAATGAATACTAAGCCACCAATCAGGAAAGAAGAGTCCACTCAATTTCTACCATAGAACACTTCAAAAGAATCAATGGGCTAAAGTATTTCTGAAAGTGAAGATAAAAATGGAGCTAAAAACAGAAGAGGAGTTTAAAGTTAGTTTAAAGAATTATTAGAGCTTATATTTCTTTGATCATTCTGCAAAGTAGAGCCAATAATCCCTTCCCCCCACACAAACTAGAGGGGTCCTGAAATATCTGAAACAGAAGGTCTCTGGCTTAGGGGGATACTAGATACAGTATCACTATATTGATCAATATCACTATTTTCAATATAGTGAGATGGGTCACTATATTAAAAATAAGGACAGTAAGTGATTATTTACAAATAATCTGTTGAAATTTTTCCCCTCTACATGGTTCCTGAATGGATGGCAGCCAAAATTATAGCATCCAGACAGCAGATGAGAAAAATCTTCTATGGGGAATCTAAGTAGCCTATGAGAAAAGATTTAAATGCAGCAAAGTATAGGTTCCCAGGACAATGGCCCAGCTACCTGCCCCCACAGTGAAGGCATAACCCTTGTACACAGATTCCAGCCAGTTACTTACTACCCATTCTTAACCATAACCAAGTAGTAAAGGATTAGACTTCTGAGAAAAACACATGAAAGTATCTTGAAACAAAAACTGACTAAATTAGGGGAAAAAACATAAAAGTGTTATTAATATCCATAGTGTTCTCATGAAACACGTGCAGAATAATAATTGGGGAATGAGAATGAGCTCGTTGAAATTAAAAACATTATAGCCAGCAGGAAAGTTGAGGAAATCATGTTGAGAAAAGTTGAGGAAGTACAGGAAAGAAAGTTTACCAGAAGAAAATTATATGTTTCTGAAAAACAATCAAACCTTGTTTAGAAACATAGTGTTAAATAATACCAAAAGACTACAATAAGAGGCTGGGGTTGTAACTCCATGGTGGAGTGCTTGCCTAGCATGTACAAGGCACTGGGTTCAATTCTCAGCACCACATATAAATAAATAAATAAATTAAATAAAGGTTCATCAATATCTTTTAAAAAAAAAAAAAGACTACCATAAGAATTGAAGTGATGGCCTTTAGGGACTGGCAAATGGGATGAAAGGGGCCTCTTCAAGGACTACTGTTTTCTAATAAGCCTCATAGAAACTAAGCATTATACTTCAATTTTAAAAGATCAGTTTTTCTCACAAACCTTCCCTATTCATAAGGATGGAGTTGAGTATAGTTGTGTACCTGAAAGAACAGAGAGGGATGAGTTCCTAGCTGCAGAAACCACTAGGATCCTTAAAAAGTATGGGGCAATGCTATTAGTAGTGGTGGGAGACTCTCATCATATGGAGAGCTCAGCTGCTTAAAGGGAGAAAACAAATCAAAGCCACTCCAGCTATGATATCAAAACCAACAAGAAGGTTGTAACATACTTGAGGTGATATATTTATACCTCTTTTAAATAACAGTACTGGGGACTGAACCCAGGAGCCTCGACCACTAAGCTACATCCCCACCCCTCTTTATTTTTTAAGATGCTGAGGCTGGCCTTGAACACATTATCCCCCTACCAGCAACTCAAAAGGGTGATGTAGGGGGATAATGTGTTCCAACAAGGTGATATATTTACATCTTAATGAAAGTATCAGATAGCAAGTATTAGAAGCTTAGGGTTACTTTTAGAAAATTAGTGAACACAGACTTCTTAGTGGACATATGTGGCTTATAAATAATTTTAATTGAGATACATTTTTAATAAAAATGATCTGTGAAATAACAGTTATTCAAAAAGTTAGAAAATTAGTTTCCTAAAGTATTAAATAATGGTTATACTAGAATATTTTACTTATTTTGTTTTTGAAGTGCTAGGGATTGAACTCAGGTTCTCTTGCATGATAGGCAGAGGTCTACCACTGAGCTACACCCTTAAACCTCACTAGAATCCTTTAAAATTGGGAAATTAGTACTTTTACTATCTGTCAAAATATTTGAGTTTTAACTCAAGTGAAAAATACCAATTCCACCTTTCATAAGCTTTGTTTTAAAACACAATAGAAGTGTAAGGTTTAATGCCCAAACTACTTTTCATCTTTTTTTCGGGGGGAGGGGTTCTAGAGAGTAAATTCAGGGGTGCATAACCACTGAGCCACAACCCCAGCTCTTTTTTGTATTTTATTTAAAGATAGGCTCTCACTGAGTTACTTAGGGCCTCGTTAAATTGCTGATGATCCTCCTGCCTCAGCCTCCTAAACTGCTGGGATTACAGGCATGCACCACCATGCTCACCTTTTCATCTTAATTCTAATCCAACTTCTTGCTTGAAGAATACAACTTCTCTTTATTCCATCATTATCCTTACCTCTTAGGATCTTGTGACCTAAGCTTCTAGATTGTGGGGTTATATGGTAACAATAGCTGTGAAATCACTTACAAAATATAAACTCAATCTTATAAAGCAAACCCCCCTTAAACCAATCTGGTCATACTCATCAAAATAAAATTTGCATGCATGTGTGAATTAGCACATAGTCTATTCTGTTTGAGAAGTCATAGCGTTTACAACTCTTCATATCAAAAACTTTTTTGTGTTTTATATAAATTTGCCTCAAATATTTCTCTTAAGTCTCAGCAAAAACAAAACAAAACTAACCTGAGAATGATTTCACGGGACTCTCAATTCTGAAAAACCCAGCATCAAATACTATTTTGTCAACTTCTTTTGATATTACAGGGGCGGTTGCCTCTGAGTGTTCTTTCTGTTTAATTTTCTCTCTCATTGCATTTTTTATGGCAGCTAGGCGATTTCTAGCTGCAATCCTTCCATCATCATCCTGTTTTGGTTTACTTGCCATGCTTGAGACAATTTTTTTCTGCAAAAAGAAACAATGTTAAAGCTGTTACTATTAAAAAAAGAATTTTGTCACTTAAAAAGTCTAATTTAAAAAAAGTGTACATTAAATATATCACACATTCACCACATACTTATCAAGTTCCTAGTATGTGCTAAGAATTCTGGAGGCAGAATGGTAGGGGATATCCAGGCTGGTGGCACAAGGCTGAAATCCCAGCTACTCAGAAGGCCAAGAGGGCAGGAGGAACACAAGTTCAAGGAGAGCTTTGACAACTTAGTGAGACCCTATCTCAAAATAAAACAAAATAGGGCGGGGGCTATAGCTCAGTTGGTAGAGTGCTTACCTCCCATGCACACGTCCTAGGTTCAATCCCCAGCATCATTAACTAACTTAAAAAAAAAAAGGAATGGAAATATAACTCAGTAGTAGAATGCCCCTGGGTTCAATCCTTAGTACTGCAAAAAAGTAGAGGAGGGGAAAAAAGGTAAAAGACAAAGTTTTTAAGTTTTTGCCCTAAAGAAGTTTACAGCTTGGTAAAATAGCTAGGATTGCAAGAAGGATAAGTATCATGTTAGAGGTAAACTCAAACAGCTATAGTAGATTAAGAGAATGACACTTAAACCAATCTTCAGAGGTCAAGAAAAGCTTACAAGAATGTAGCACCTAAGCTGAAATCAATTAGCCAGGTAAAAGATGGGGTGAAGAAAGGCTAGATGAATAGCATGTTTGCAAAGCCAGAAGGGAAAGAAAACAAAGAAAAAATGGCAGGATATAAGCAACAGTGGGATTATAAAATCTCTTGTAATCATTTTGAGGGTACATCTACACATGACAGAGGAATAAAAAGGAGTGGTTTTTAAGCAACAGGTTAACAGTATAAAATTTTGTGTTTTAGGAAGACCGCTCTGGTTACTGCCAGGAGAATGAAACTGGGAAGAAGACTACTGCAATGACATTGGAAAATATGATAGTAATCAGACTAAGGAAAAGGATGTGGAAAAAAGTGATTGGATTCAAGAGATACTTAAGAGGCAGAAATAAGATGACTTGCTTATCTATTGGATGTGGTTGGATGGAGATAGTGAAATGAAAAAAAGGAAAGGATCACAGGAGATACTCAAGTTTCTTACAAACCTGACAGGATGGTCACAGGGAATGTGTGAAAATCATTTCAGTGTGGGATATACTGATTTCTAAGGTCTAATGAGTCATAACATATAGAATTAGAGTTGGGCAGTAGGTATGATTTGAAATACAGACTTAGGAATCACTGAACAGCAGTTTAGGGCCGGGATGTAGTTTAGTGGTAGAGGATTTGCATGATATGCATGAAGCCCAGGGTTCAATTCCCAGCAATGGGAGAAAAAAATCATACAGGAAGAATGTGAAAGGCAAGAAGAAAGTTGAGGTAGAAACTCTGAATATAAAAACATTTAAGAGATAATGGAAAAGCAAACTTGCAAACATGACTAAAGATTTGGCAGAGAGGTAGGAGGAAAATCAGAATATAATTTTAAGAAAAAGAGAGTAGAACATATTTAAAACTAAGGAAGAGTTAGACTTTATGAATTAAGTATCTAATAACTTCAGTAATGAGTTGATTAATAACCTTGATAACTGCTCTTGAGGGACAGGGATAAGTAAAACTGAATTGCAGAGAGAAATGGGAGCCAAATCACTTAAGATATCTACGACCTTTTCAGGAAGCTTGTCTATGATTTGGAAGGAAAAGATTGGGAACAGAGGGGCAAGTACAAATAGTCAGAGGGAAAGGTGAACACTACAAATTGGTTTATTTGTTTTAATGTAAACAAAGTTAAGACAGACACTTCAAAAAGCTGAAGAAAAGAGGAAAACAGGTTAACTGATAGAATAAAAGGATGATGAACAAGAGACAGAAGGAAGCAGTATCATAATCTGAACATTAACTTGTAAGAACTAGGGGTAGTTCTCATGGTAGAGCTCTTGCATAGCACATGAATCCCCTGGGTTCACCTGCCAACATTGTGGGTGTGGTGGTAGTAAAAAGGCCTTAAAAAAGAAAAATAAACTGTATCCTATGAAATAAAGTAGAAGGAGAGAGACATCTGGTGATAACAAGTAGAATTACAAGGCTCTGATATGATATAGCCATTATCATTGATATTAATATTTCTAGGACTAAATAAGAAATATCCCCCACCCCCAGTAGCTTTATTAAGTAATATCCTTCACTATTTAGAAAATTTGAAATTGATTCAATCACTTAGTTGCTGCCCTCAGGGTCTTTCTTGTCATGAGGCTTTATTAGTAAAATAATTTTATAATAAAGGTTCTTTTAATGCTTAATCACCTTAAACTTCAAAGATAGGATTCAGAACAGTCTTAATTTGGATAACAAAATGTAAAAAAAAAATACTAGACAACCTGGCATAGTTTTTGTCTACCTGAACCAAAACCATTGAGCTCAAAATATCACTGTATTAAAAATGACTAGAGACTACCACCTGATCTTTGTGCTTGACTCCTGCCAGGATAAAATTACCTTCAGGTTATATATATATAAAATAAGCTTTATATGAAACATAGATAGTTTCTTGTTTAATCTTAGGTCCCTCCACCAAAATATCTCTTTATATATGTACAAATATCCCCAAACCTGAAATATCTCTGTTCCCAAGCACTTTTTTTTTTTTTAAGAGAGGGCGGGGGAGGGAGGGAGGGAGAGAGGGAATTGTTTTAGTATTTATTTTTCAGTTTTCAGTGGACACAATATCTTTATTTTTATGTGGTGCTGAGGATCGAACGCAGCACCCCGCGCATGCCAGACGAGCACGTTACCGTTGAGCCACATCTCCAGGCCCTCAAGCACTTTTGATAAGGAATATTTAACCTACACTAAAAACTGGGATGTTCCTTGTATTAATCTTAAAACGTACTAATGTGAATAAAAAGAAAACGTGGGGTGGGGATGTAGCTCAGTGGTACAGCGCTTGCTTAGCAATTGTGAGGCACTGAGTTCAGTCCTCAGTATCACATAAAAACAAACAAATAAAGGTATTCTGTTAGTTTACAACTACAAAAATAATAATAAATAAATAAAAGGTATTGTGTCCATCTACAACTTAAAAAAAAAACAAACACCTTAATACTATCACAGTAATGCTACTGGTATCCCTCAGAGAAGGTAAATATTGAAATGATATATTTTTTAAAAATGACTAGAGATAGATAAAAATGGTATAAATTTCACCAGGTAATGGTAAAGGGAATAAGACATAAGTTCTAAAGAGCCACTGTTCCTCTTTTCTTTTAAAAAATGCCTTTCATTCTAAAATCTACTATACAAAAAAGCATACAAACCAGCAAGGGAACAGAGTCAACTGGTTAAATACATGGATTCTGGAATTAAAAAGTCTGGCCTAAAACCCAGCTCTACTTTGAGCAAATGATTTAATTTTGGGGGGCTTCAGATTCCTTAATCATAAAATGGGGCCAATAGAACCCAGCCCACCAGATTGCTATAAGGATTACGTAAATTATATAAAATACTCGGAATAATATTTGGCCCATTCAAAACATTATGTCAATCACTTATTAATAATATCATTACAACCAAATACATCAGTACAGTTTAAAGAATAAAACCAACAGTCATGTACTCCCTATCTGCTAACTTCAAACCATCTGGGTGCCTCCATTCAATCATAGCTCTTACTTTCTTTAAACACTTTAAATTTTGTGATCATTTCCTTGTTCTTTACTTAAAAACAATCAGGACTTTGTAAGTAACACATGAAACTTTATAAAATGGGAAAACTGAAGTTAAATGTTTCTAAAACTTAAAAACAAAAATCAAGTGGAAGAAATATTAGAAATATGAAATATAAACCCCACAAACTTACCCTAAAGACTTTTTTATTTGTATTGTTATTGTTTTGCCATCCAGACTCCTCGAGTTTGGTCAGATTGTTGAATTTTTGGTTTACATCTTCTATCTGTTAATAAATAAAGCCTAAGTTTATCAGATTAATGCTAATCAATTACAAACTAATAAATTACAAGCTAATGAACTTAAGCTTCAAGAAAATTGAGAACAGTGACTCAGAACTGGCGACTCAGCTAGGAAGGGTGACAAAAGACTATAATTCCAGTTACTCCAGAGGTTGAGGCAAGAGGACCTCAAGTATAAGGCCAACCTCAGCAACTTGGTTAAGACCCTGTCTCAAAATATAAGATGAAAAGGCTGGAGATACACCTAGTAATAGAGTGTCCTTGGTTTTAACCAAAGTACCATAAAAATAATAAAAAGGTGAGTTATTAAAATTAGACTGAGTCATTTTTTATTTTTTGACAATAACAGAGATTAAATCAGGGATGCTCTGTCACTGCTACTGAACTACATTCCCAGCCCTTTTTATTATTTTGAGACAGGATCTTGCTAATTTGCCCAGGCTGTCTTCTAACTTATGATCCTCCTAACTCAACCTTCAAAGTTGCTGGGATTACAGATGTGCACACTGTGCTCAGCTGAGTCATTCTTTCTTTATGTTTTATGTTTTGGGGTGTGTGTTTCTGTGGTACCGGGATTGAACTCAGGGGCACTCAACCATATCCTAGCCTCATTTTGTATTTTATTTAGAGACAGGGTCTCACTGAGTTACTTAGGGCTTTGCTTTTGCTGAGGCTGGCTTTGAACTTCTGATTCTCCTACCTCAGCCTCCTAAGCCACTGGGATTACAGGCAGTAATTAATTACCATACCCAGCAGCTAAGCCATTCTTAATTCAGTGTTTACATCAAGAATATTTATCTCAGTTGGTTGAGCGCTTGCCTAGCATGTGTGAGGCAGTGGGTTCAAGCCTCATTGCCACATAAAAAAAATAAAGATATTGTGTGCATCGACAACTAAACAAAACAAAACAAAACAAAAAAACCTAAAAGATGAAGTTAGACTCCGACTTCACACCATACACCAAAACTAATCAAACAGATCACTCACTGAACTCTAAGTGCTGAAAACTATAGCACTTTTAGTTCAAACAAAAATCCTTGTGACTTAACATTAAGAGTTCTTAAAAATAATGTCAAGGGGCTGGGGTTGTAGCAAGGCCCTGGGTTCAAGCCTCAGCATCATATAAAAATAAATAAATTAATTAAAGATATTGTGTCCAACTACAATTAAAATATATTTATATTTAAAAACTATCAAAGTCACAAAAGAAAAAAATTGATAATTTGAACTTCACCCAAATTAAAAACATTTGCACTTCAAAAGACATCATTAAGACAACTAAAAGTCAGCCAAGCACAGTGATGCATCCTCCCAGCAGCTTGGGAGTCTGAAGCAGGAGGATCACAAGTTCAAAGCCAACCTTAGCAAATTAGCAAGCCACTAAGCAACTCAGTGAGACCCTGTCTCTAAATAAAATACAAATGAGGCTGGGGATGTGGCTCATTGGCGAGTGCCCCTGAGTTCAATCCCTGAAATATATTAAAACAAAACAAAAAAACTAAAAGTCAAACCACAAACTTGGAATATTTGCAAATATTATTTCTGATTATATCCAGGATATGTAATGAATACTAAAAAGTCCCTAATAAAAAGACAGACAACCCAATTTAAAAATGGGCAAAAGATTGAACAGATATTTCATTAAAGAAGATACATGAGCTGGGTATCATGGTGCAAACTTATAATCTTAGCCACTCAGGAGGCTGAGGCACAATAATCACAAGTTCAAGGCTGGTTTGGGTAACTTAGTGAGACTCTATTTCAAAATAAGATTTTTTAAAAAGGACTAGGAGCTAGTGGTTCATCTCCAGGGTCATTAAAAAAAAAAAAAAATCCTCAGACAGCAAAGTCCCTTATATAAAATGGTATAATATTTGCATATAACTTATGTATACCCCATTTACTTTAAACCATCTTTACATGACTTATAATACTACATACAATGTAAAGTAGTTGTTACACTGTATTGTTAAGAAAAAAATGAGAAGAAACAAAGTCTATACATGTTCCATACAGAGAATTCTTTTTTTTTTTTTTTTCATTATGAGGCACTTGACCACTGAGTCACATCCCCAGTCTTTTGTTTAAATTTTGAGACAGGTCTCACAAAATTGCTGAGGCTGGCCTCAAATTTGGGAACCTCCTGCCTTAGCCTCCTCATCACTGGGATTATAGTGCACTCTGTTGGACCAAGCCAGACATAACTTTAAAAAAAATATTTTATTGTTAGTAATTCCCTAGGGCTGAGAGTGAGAATGGAGACTGATGGTAGTCAGGAAGGATCTTTTGGCAGTGATGAAAATTCTAAACTTGGATCGTGGTGATGGTTGCATAATTCTAAATTTATTAAAAACAACTGTATACTTAAAATAGACAAATTTTATGATATGTAAATAATACCACACAGTTTCTTGGTTAAAAACAAAACAAAACAAAACCTCATAAAAAAGGCCTCAACTTAAAGTGGTCCCCACTAATCAAAGCTGAGCAATGAGTCAGGTGCAGTAGCACACACACATAATCCCACTGACTTGGGAAGCTCAGACAAAAGGATCATAAGGTCAAGCTCAGCCTCAGCAACTTGGAGATACCCTTTCTCAAAATAAAAAAGGCTTTGAAAGTAGCTCAAAGTAAAATACCCCTGGGGAGGGGAAGGGGGGAATGGAAGGACAGCAGAATAAAATAGACATTATTATTGCTGTGGGTATATACGTGAGTGCATGACCAATGTGATTCTGCAACCTGTACACTCAGAAAAATGATATTATCCCATCTGATTCAAATGTATGCTATGTCAAGATCATTATACTGTCATGTGTAACTAAACTAATTGAAACAAATTAAAAAAGAGTAAAAAAAAAAACAGTAAAATACCCGAGTTTAGCCGTCAGTACCAAAACAAAAACAAGATAGAAAGCTGAGAAACGAGCATGAATAAAGATAATAATAATTATAAATAACGTAAACATATCAAATATCTTTAAATCCATAAATCAATACTAAAAAGCAAAATTAATTGGTCAACACTAAAGGATGCTAATGAACCAACTCACTGTTATGAAAACTGGTAAATGTATAAAAAACTGGTCATAAAATAATCCTTCTATTATTACGATCACATAAACATTATTGACATCTGGGCCACAGAATTACTGTAATTATGTTCTCTTCCTCGTAACTCTTTTCCAGATTTAATAATCATTTTTTTTGTTTGCTCATTTTTCATGTACTTATCAATTCATCTCCAAATTCTGCATAGTAAGTATAAATTAAATTACTACAATTAAAAAAAAATCAGGTATTCTATTCATTCCACTTCCCAGAATTCTGGGCCTCCTGCTATCTTAACTACTGTTCTGTAAACTTTCCACACTCCAAGTTGCTTTAGAATCCTTCTTCATTCACCATCAGCCACAATTCCTTTTCTTCAGCCCTTCTCTGGGGATAGGTCGCACTCTCCTCCCCCTTTTCTTAGCTTACTCGAATTTCTGTAAAGTACATAATGTTAGTTTCTCAAGAAAGGAAGCATGGGAGGAGATAAAATTTGAGACCTATGGTCTGAAATATTTGCCTTTCCAGTCTCATAATTGATTGGGTACAAAATTTAATCTATTTTCCCTAGATTTTTCAGAGTGTTGTTTTCCTGGCTTTCAAAATTGCTACTGAGAAATCCCTGGCTATTCTGATTCTTGAGGCTTTGAATAAAGTCTGTTTTCTTTCTCTGAAAGCTTCTAGATTTCTTTTTTTATCCCAAGATTTGTACAAATATATTTAATAATGTGAAGAGATGTGGGTTTGGTCTGATTTACAGTGTTAGGCACTGAATAGACTACTTTAGCCTAGAAATCATGTCCTAGAAAAAAAATTTTAAACTATTTCACTGATCATTTTTTCTCCACAATTATTTTTCTATTCTCTTTTTCTGAAATTCCAATTATTTGGATATTATGCTTCCTGGACTGGTCCACTTAATTTTCTTTTGTGTTCTTTTCTATTTTACATCTCTTTGCTCCACTTAACAAGAAATTTTCAGAACTCAAACTCTTTCTATTCCATATCACACTTCTGCTCTTATTTTTTAACTTCAAAAGGCTATTTCTGTGGTTCTATGAATGTTCTTTTTCAAACAGGTATTTTTATTTGATAGATGAAATGTCTGATCTCTTTGAAATATTAATGCCTGCATTTAAATGTTCTTTTCTCTTTATATTACTCCCATTTACTCTATCCAAATAGCTTTTCCCCTAAATGTTGGCTTTGGTCTTTTTCTTTTAGGTCTAAAGCTTTATTCTGAGGTTGGTGCTATAGCACAGTGGTAGAGCTCATGCTTATGAGCAGGCACAAAGCCCTGGGTTTGATCTGTAGTACAACAAAAAAATAATAAAACTTTCTTCTTCAAATATCTG